AATGCATTAATCGGGTACAGACTAAGAGGGTGTGCTTGTGATGCGATGGGGAGAAAACCAAAAAAAAAACGTCCTGATCAGCCCTGTTATTCATCCGATATAGGGGATTTACTGCAGAGACCACATGGCGAGGTTAGGCCAAACATGGCGGCCAACCTCGCTGAATTTTCGGACACCTTGGATGACAGCCTCCAGACACTCTGGAGTATAAAGGGCCCAGAGCCGACCGCAGGACCATCTCCCCCAATCACCACGGAGAAACTCACCAACCTCCTGTCAGACCTCCGCCAAATGCTGTCTGCTGAAATCTCCCAAGTAAGGGAGGACATAAGGGGATTCACTGCACGCCTCACAACTGTGGTGGAAATCTCCTACTCACACAGCCCAAGTCCAAGTACTCCAGAATCAGATCAGTGACCTTTTATCAGCCCAAAACACCTTATCCCTCCAAATTGCTGCCTTGGAAGACAAACGACGGTGGAAATATGTAAAAATTAGAGGCGTCTCCGATGAAGTGACCTCTGCAGAACTGCCACCTTTTCTTTGAAGGCTGTTTGCATCCCTACTTCCTCCAAGGCAAGCCAAGGGAATCCAGCTTGATGGCATGTTTCGCCTGCCCAAGCCACAGCAGACCAACCGTATACCCACGAGTGACCTTTTAATTAAATTTCAAAATAGGCAAGACAAGACCGCTTTCATGACAGCCACTAGGGGGGGAAAACACCTTACTAATTTGAAAATATGGAACTCTCCTTTTTCTCAGATTTATCACGCATGACCCTACAATGGAGGAAGACTCTAAGACCCATGACTTCAATTCTTACCACTAAAGGGGTGAAATACAGATGGGGTTCACCATATCAACTAATAGGCCACCACCAGGACAAGGAACACAGAGTGACAGACGCAGCGGAGAATGACATTGTTCTTTCTACAGTAGGCCTAAGCCTCGTGCCTCCAACCACAGCTACAACCATAACCTGGGATCCGGCTGTTGTAGTCCCATTTGTTCCGACATCCAGGGGCGGCAATTACCTGACTTATCTACCTATACGTTAATTGTTTTTATTTTATTTCCTCCTCTTAACTTTTGTTGGAACATATCGTACGGTTTAAGAAATGCCGTTTTTGTTAATTCACATAATTGCTATACCCATGGCATAGACTATGCCCACGAGGCCTCACATGACTAAGACTGGGACTTTTCCCGGATAACATAGCTCTGATAATACCACCTCCCCCCCAGTTCCCACCCTGAAACCTAATACTGTAATCGCTCTTGAGGAGCTGTTACTCCATCTCACTTTTAGTTTTCTCCATGGCACTCTCAATTTCAATCTAATCCTACGTTGTTACCGTTGTGCATTCCGCCCCTTCTCCAACCGCTGCAATACAGTTTATAGCACGGCTGCAGCACAACGAAATAAAAAAAAGTGCAGTAATTACGCAATGCCTTATACCTGTTCCGCTATGTATTCTGAATGTTTGCAATCGCTATTGTGGCATTGCAAGCTTGTATGGACTACTAGGCACTGCTAAATAATTTGTTTAGGTGTTTGTTTGTTTTTTAAATGCTACATTTATGTCTTTTCAATGGAAAAATTCATGAAGGACTTTTAAATTATCCATATTTTATTATCCCACATAAGGAAATTAAAAAAAAAAAAATTAAAAAAAAATGAAATCCACAAGGCATAGTATTTACCCTTATAACTGTCATACATACATGTCCAGTGAATGTATTGAGTATGACAATGTATCACACCGTGAAACACATGTAGTCTTTATGCTATAGAGCAGGGGTTCCCAACCCAGTCCTCAAGTACCCCCAACCAGTCCAGGATTTAGGGATTACGCTGTTGTGTCTAAAGTTTTTTTTTTTTCTTCTTCTAAAAACACAACTGGGTAATTCCTAAATCTTGAACTGGTTGGGGGTACTTGAAGAATGGGTTGGGAACCACTGCTTTAAAAAATATAAAATAAAAAACATAATAAATTTGTTAAGCATCTCAGATTATTTTGACATATTTTATAGTCATATCTAACATAACTATATATAACAAAACCGGTATTTGTTGTCCCTTGAATTTTATTGAATACAGCAATACAGTTTGCAGGATACTTCTATTTTGCCCCATTCAAAATACACATGTCCAGAGCAAATGCTACAAACATTTCAACAAATAAGCAGGTATTTTTTGCCTGAAATGCTTTTTCACTTAAAGTTTTCCTGTTAATAATTATTACGACTTTTCTATGTAAGACCTCTTGAGTACTATTCTCTCCTATATCTTGATACCAGACTTCTGTAGGTCTGGTCTTGATCGTCTAGACTAGATGTGAGCACGTGGTGGGTGGGCATGTCTGCCTGGCACTTGACGCAATGTTTTCATCTGCGCCTTGGAGAATCCCTGGTATAAAAGAAAAAAGCATTCTTGAAACAGTCATATATTTCTTCCCAGCCCTATTTCCTCCCTGTGGATTGGCTTAAGGTCATTCATTTAAATTCTGCGCTTTAAGTTTAAATCTCTCCCCAAACCATTAAATCGATATTAAGAAGCTTGCAAATGTCAAGGCTTTTGTTGTAAAATGAAAAAGGTTAAAATCTGCTTTTGCAAATAAAATGACTCTAAGCCCTTTATCTCACTGACTGCTCTTTTTCCCCTTAAAGCGCTAGTTCTAAGATACATTTATATCCTTACACTTTTTTGTCGAAACTTGATAGTCCCACGACTCTGGCACTCTCAACGTTCAAATGCAGGCACTTGTTTAAGCTAGACTCTCATATTTAAAGTGGACAGTCCACTTTAAAAAAACAATTGGAACTAAACAAAAAAAATTTATGAAGAAGAACTGTAAAAAAATAATTGCATAATCAGAGTTTATTTGTGCATGGCGAAAATATTCGGTTCGGCTGAATCAATGAATTTGAACATATTTTTGTTTTTTTAAATACATTTTTTCCCCCCCATAAATCATTTCTTTTTTTTGTGCCATGGACAGAACTCTGAATTACTAAAATGTTTTTCCATTAATCATTTCGGTTTTCATCATGATTTGGCCGTGTAGCGTTTAGGAATTATGGAATTTGGACGAACCACTGATTGCCTGACATTCGGACGAGTTCCGATTCATTTGGAATTGAATTCACAAGTCTAGTCATCCGAAAGGACGAATTTAATAAAAAAATAAAAAAAATAAGAAAATAAAGCTTCAACGTTTTCTGCTGCACAGTACATATTCAGGATTTGAATTTGAAAAGGGCTTGTTTATCGTACTGTTCATACAATTGCTTTGCTTTTTGATGGGATTCTTGTTCGATCATGTCAAGTTCAGGGCTCTGATCGTTACTGGGCGGGAATAAAATTGTGCTCTTTATTCTGGCTCCTCTCTGGAGGCTCCCGACTTTGCTGTAGTTACAGATGCAGCCTCTGTGATTGTACCTATTGACATGATGGAAATTGACATTTGCGGAGACGTATGAATACAAATAAAGCCTTGCATAGAGTGGTTGAAGTGTGAAGATGTACAGAAAACACTTTGGAACTCTTATTAAAATGCATAGTGTGGGTGGATAGAATGCCAGAAATAGTTAGATTTTTGTAAACTTTTTTAAATAACTTTTATTTCCTTGAAGCATGCATTTTATATTTTAATGCAGTCCAAATGGTGATAACCGGGAATGTGTATATTTATTTTTCACCAATCAGTAGAGGTTGTCAGTAGGAGAATTATTAAGTAGGAGAGACGCTAATAAGTTATCTCTATAGGTGAATACATTTGCAATCTTTCTATCAATTACATACCACTGTTTTTTCACTCAGTGAGATAATCCCACTAACCAATCTGTTTGTCTGCATGTTCAAGGCAATGGAATATTTTTTTTTGTTTGTCTTTTTTTTTTTTTTTTTATGTATATGACACTTTTACCATTTTACCTGTATTGTAAAAATATAATTTGCTTCTGTAAAGTGCTCTTTAACGGAGCAGTTGATGCACCATAACCACTACATGCCATCAAACCGTTTTTTAAAAAGGTCAGCAGACCCACTCAAGAAAAGAATAACCTAAAATATGGACGGAATGAATGTTGCTAATGCAGAGGTAGAACTTCTGCATTAGCAATATCTGAGCAGGGGGCCTTAAGGATTTAATTTTGGCCACATCATTTGAAACTATGTTGACCAAGAACTGATGCCTGGATCCTAATGGCACCATAACTACTATATTGATATATTCTCATGATGACCAGGCTACTACTAATTATGGAACTACTCTTTTTTTGGAATTTTGAACATGTAGAGTTCACAATGACCAAGCAGAGCATAACCGTGGAATTATTTGCCACATTTCACGATGTAAATCATCTTGTTTCTCTTTCTTTAGTTGCCATCTCAGTGTCCCCTCAGAACTGAAAGCTTAAAGAATTACGCCAACACTTTTTTAAAATTACTACAATTTAAATTAGCATGCCCTAATACTCCCTCTCCCTCCCCCCCCCTCTTAAAAAGCGGCAAATGAAATGTTAATCTTACCTGCAATCCAGCATGAAGTGAGGCTCCTGGCGCTCCTCCCCATGCCCCTCTTGCATGTGCATGCACAGAGAACGTGAAGGGAAGGAGGGAGGAGGTGGACAGGTTTGGAAGGGGATTTGTTATGTGTATAAGAAAGCAAAACGCCAAAACACAGATTACAAAATGAAGGGAGGGCTAGGAGGGACCGCACAGAGGGATGGAGTGAAGATCAAGGCCTGAAACGGAAGAAACTGACTGTCTGTTACGAGTACACTGTGCACACTGACAACAGATGTATTTTTTTGCACAGAATTGACACTATGCAGCCCGGAACTCTGCCTAAGCCAGTGTAACTTGCCCCCAGCCCAAAAGAGCAGCTATTTCTGTATGTATAGATTTTCAAGCAGATAGTGCTGCACAAGCAAACTCTTACCAGCATGACCATTTCTAAAAGCAGAAGTGGTCATGGTGGTTGAAGTAATTAGAGCAGGTTTCTCCAAACTCTGGCCCTCCAGATGTTGCTGAACTGCTCTTTGAATGAAATAGCCAGATAATCATGGGAGTTGTAGTTCGGCAACAGCTGGAGGGCCAGAGTTTGGAGAATCCTGAAATAGAGCAATGTTTAAATATCTAGGATTTAAACATTAGAACACAAATTATAAAGGTTTGGACTTCTCTCCTGGTGGTGGAGGATGGTCTCTGGTTACAAACAAAAGCTTTTTTTGGACATAGAGCCATCTTTTCTTATTTTCAAAAACTGCAACCTGTTTTCCCATTATGGGGAGATTGGACAGCTGTTGGACAGATGTTGAATGGACAGCTCCCAGCTGTGTTGGTTTATCACTGCTTTGTACTAACTGACCACAAAGGAACAATTATTGTGACCTGTGATGACATTAGTAAATGTTTGGGACCGGTGGTCCACTGGGCATGTGCCAAGGATGCCGTAGCCTACTGTTAACGTGTAGTTAAATATCTGATATAAGATTGTACGTACTCTAAAATATGTGTAGATCTGAATATATGAAATTTTACAATTTATTCCAACCATGGTTTCCTGTTTATTCATGGTCCCTGATTTCTGTATGTTTTTCATTATTTAAAGTATGTCCATAACAAAAAAAATATAAGGTATAATGAAACAAACCGTGTGTGAGATAGCATCAGAATTTCTCCTGAGCCCTGCTTTATGTCTTTCAGCTTGTGGATTACAGGTCGGAGTTCAGCAAGTGGTGGGTAACAGAATTTAAGACCATCAAATTCCCATCTCAGGGGACAGTATTCGACTACTTCATAGACCCAGAAAGCAAGAAATTCGAGCCGTGGGCCAAGCTCATCCCAAAATTTGAATTTGATGCAGATATGCCACTCCAGGTTTGTAGAATAAGTGTGTGTGTGTGTAATATACAGGGAGTGCAGAATTATTAGGCAAATTAGTATTTTGACCACATCATCCTCTTTATGCATGTTGTCTTACTCCAAGCTGTATAGGCTCGAAAGCCTACTACCAATTAAGCATATTAGGTGATGTGCATCTCTGTAATGAGAAGGGGTGTGGTCTAATGACATCAACACCCTATATCAGGTGTGCATTATTATTAGGCAACTTCCTTTCCTTTGGCAAAATGGGTCAAAAGAAGGACTTGACAGGCTCAGAAAAGTCAAAAATAGTGAGATATCTTGCAGAGGGATGCAGCACTCTTAAAATTGCAAAGCTTCTGAAGCGTGATCATCGAACAATCAAGCGTTTCATTCAAAATAGTCAACAGGGTCGCAAGAAGCGTGTGGAAAAACCAAGGCGCAAAATAACTGCCCATGAACTGAGAAAAGTCAAGCGTGCAGCTGCCACGATGCCACTTGCCACCAGTTTGGCCATATTTCAGAGCTGCAACATCACTGGAGTGCCCAAAAGCACAAGGTGTGCAATACTCAGAGACATGGCCAAGGTAAGAAAGGCTGAAAGACGACCACCACTGAACAAGACACACAAGCTGAAACGTCAAGACTGGGCCAAGAAATATCTCAAGACTGATTTTTCTAAGGTTTTATGGACTGATGAAATGAGAGTGAGTCTTGATGGGCCAGATGGATGGGCCCGTGGCTGGATTGGTAAAGGGCAGAGAGCTCCAGTCCGACTCAGACGCCAGCAAGGTGGAGGTGGAGTACTGGTTTGGGCTGGTATCATCAAAGATGAGCTTGTGGGGCCTTTTCGGGTTGAGGATGGAGTCAAGCTCAACTCCCAGTCCTACTGCCAGTTCCTGGAAGACACCTTCTTCAAGCAGTGGTACAGGAAGAAGTCTGCATCCTTCAAGAACTCCACAGCGTGGCTGGCAAGAAAGGGTATAAAAGAAGAAAATCTAATGACATGGCCTCCTTGTTCACCTGATCTGAACCCCATTGAGAACCTGTGGTCCATCATCAAATGTGAGATATACAAGGAGGGAAAACAGTACACCTCTCTGAACAGTGTCTAGGAGGCTGTGGTTGCTGCTGCACGCAATGTTGATGGTGAACAGATCAAAACACTGACAGAATCCATGGATGGCAGGCTTTTGAGTGTCCTTGCAAAGAAAGGTGGCTATATTGGTCACTGATTTGTTTTTGTTTTGTTTTTGAATGTCAGAAATGTATATTTGTGAATGTTGAGATGTTATATTGGTTTCACTGGTAATAATAAATAATTGAAATGGGTATATATTTGTTTTTTGTTAAGTTGCCTAATAATTATGCACAGTAATAGTCACCTGCACACACAGATATCCCCCTAACATAGCTATAACTAAAAACAAACTAAAAACTACTTCCAAAAATATTCAGCTTTGATATTAATGAGTTTTTTGGGTTCATTGAGAACATGGTTGTTGTTCAATAATAAAATTAATCCTCAAAAATACAACTTGCCTAATAATTCTGCACTCCCTGTATGTACGTTGTTGTTGTTGTTGTTGTTGTTGTTTTTTCCCGTTACATTTTCTGTATTATCACAGTGAAGGCCTCTGGGAATTAAAGGAGCGGTACGACGGTTTTGATTTTCTATTTTGCAGTCTTGCTAATGTTGGCAATGTGACAATTCGCAGAAAACAAGGCCGGTAATAATGAGACAGGCGACAGCTGTAGGGAATTCCTGTCTAAAATTGAAAAGAAGCTGAAATATGCTCATAATGCTCTTTTTCTTTCTAACCTCCTAAACACCAGATATTTTGGTTTGTTTTTCTATTTTTTTAAATCCAACTTTGGCCCTGTGTGTGTATATGTATATAAAGTTGATAACAACAGACAAGGCCGAAATTCTCAATTATTGTTTTATACGCCTATGAATACAAAAACTTTCACTCTGGGCTCTGTATAATTTTGTTCCTTGTAAACCTCCCCAATTTTATTGACCCTTCTTACCATGTTCTTAGATCTCTGCGCTGTCGGTACAATGGTGTCTATTATATGCCATTATTCTTGGCAAGACATGATTTGAAAATCTCATTGCATATATTTCCAACAGCCACAAAAACCGCACAATACAGCTGAGCTTTGCTTTCATCGCTGTTGAAACTAGCTAACTGCTGCTTAGATTTCAATCAAAGGGACAGGAGGAACGGTAGACTATAGACACAGCTGGTTTGAGTGTTTCGAAACAATACGTAAAGATTTCAGATTGAGAACTGGCATTCGTATTCGTAGCTCCATGCTAAATAAACACCTTAAAGAAACACTCTCTCGGTTTTCCATGACGGAATTTAAAAATAAATAAATGGTTTTTTAATTAATTAATAAAAATGTAGGACTACACAGATATTAAGGGTTTCGTATCCCACTAAGCTCGTTTACAGGCAGTCGTCTGTGGCCATTCCAATATCTAATTCATTACAGACTTGCAAGTCTAGGCCCTTCCTCCTCATTCACTCGTGAATTAAATATGGCGTAAAGCGATATTTAATTATAATTGCACGTACTCTAACTCTACCACCATATTTCTTATCTCTGTGACCACCGTGGCCGTATTTCCTCCTTTCCCTGTCCTTGGCATACCAAGTGGTCATTATGAAACAACATTACAACCTCAGTCAGCATGCATGCTGAATATTTATGTTGTCAGAGGCAATAAGGTTGCAGAAACTGAGTACTTATAATTTGCATGACTGGACAGCAACACAAAAGCCTTTATTATGTACAATGAATACAGATAGAATCTTACACGTGGAAAAAGTATTGACCTGTAACTAACAGGCTGCCAATCGACCTTACATCTGCTAATTATATTTCCCAGAATCCTGCGGTGATAAACTTGGCATGTAAACGCAGTAACCCAGTAACCGAGGTTCATTAAAGGCAGATGTTTTACAATTTCAACCTCCCACGTCCATGGTGTGAAGGCACATCTGCCCTGCTCTGTCTGTCTGTCTGTCTAAATATATACTTTGAGATTCTCCTAAAAAAAGGGGGAGGATAGTTCCTTCAGAGTGACTATCTCCTTATATCAAAGTCTTTTCTGTAACAAATTGTGTATATACTCAATTTTTAGGTGACACTGATTTATACGTGTCTATGCCTGGTTTTGCAAAATAAATACTATCTACTTTTTTGAAACACCAACTGGAATCAGTGATTGTATTTCTTTACTTTCCTCACTATAAAGCATCTCGTGTATTTGTAATCTCATCGATCTGATATATTGTATTTATTTTTTTTAGGCCTGCTTAGTGCATACCAATGAAACAATCAGAGTCCGTTATTTCATGGACAAACTCCTTGAAAAAAAGAGGCCTGTGATGTTGGTTGGAAATGCTGGCACTGGAAAGTCGGTGCTCGTTGGGGACAAGTTGTCTTCGTTGGATCCTGATGAGTATATGATAAAGAATGTCCCATTTAACTACTACACGACTTCTGCAATGCTGCAAGGTAATGCATTGCCGTCTGTCTCAAAGGCAAAACTAGAATTATTTTGTAGGCCCATTTGCTCCCCCAATAAAAGGACAACGGACATCAAATGTTCACTTCTCATTCTTTACATTCTTTTTTTTTTTTTTTTATGATATATATTTATTTATTTGTAAAAAATCAACTTTTTTTTTTAATCTAGCTGGGCAGCCATGTTGGGTCAAACTCTACAGTTATATGACCAACTGCTGCTCAACCTAACTTGCCCGCTGCTGTGATTGGTCTGTGTAAAACCGCCGCAGCAGTCAAGTTAGGTTGAGCAGCAGTATAGTCTGATACAACATCGCTGCTCACACAGATAAAAAAATGAAAGTGTAATTTTCTCAAAAAATCTATATACAATATTTAGGGGAAAAAAAGGTCCATTAAATGTGATACACTTTAAAAAAAAAAAATTTAAATTTCATGACCGTCATCCTTAAGTTTCCAGTGGTGAGATCATTTTTGGAAAGGGGATGTATACTGAGTAGTTCTGAATGGAATGAAGCAGATAAGTTCACCTATATATATATAATTTTTATTTTGTAAAAAATTTTTTTAGCCAGGACATTTATAAATTAAAGTACATACTCACTCATGTTGGATTATATGATGGCCCTGTGGTGTGCCATGGGTTTAACTTTGTTTGTAACTCTAGGGCTAGTAAATATAGTTTACAGAAATCTGAAACAAGGTTA